ACACACACACACACACACACACAAATAATCCACATCTGTCTCTACTCCAGATGTGTTCTTCAGGCTAGATCTGATATCTAACACATTCTTCTTCTTACATTTTTCCTTCTGTACAAAATGGATACATTTCACATTCCTCTCGAGATTTCTTTTTAAATAATGTCTGTGGAGCACTAAAGGAGATATTTAGCTGCATGTACGAGCTGTTCTTTTCCACACTATGGAAGTGAAGGGTGTCCAGGGGTTGTCAAGCATCAAAATTGACAAAAAATTCCACATAGTGTCATATGGGATATTGTTATGATATGAATTTTGCATTTTTCCAAGTTATCTAAAGTAATATGAGAGTGAGAACAGACTAAAATTTAAACTCTGAAAATCTTCTCCACTAGCGCAGCTTTCAAATCTCACTTATGTTTACATGCACTGAAAACAAATTACTGTCAAATTTACTTTGAAATAGCTCACTCAGAAATTGCTAGTAAATTAATGAGTACAACGAAGCAGCAAGTAACACACTGAATTACATGGGAAGAAGAAAGATGAAAATAGTATTAGTAACATTTTAGTTTAGGGACCGATTCTCACTATTAAATAGTTGCTTATTAACATGCATGTTACTAGCATATTGGCTGTTTATTAGTACTTATAAAGCACATATGAATGATTTATTCTGCATGATCATATTTTAGATCCTTTAATCCTTCCTCATACCTAAACTTAACAACTACCTTACTAACTATTAATAAGAAAAAAATTAGAAGTTTGAGGAAAAGGCATACTTAACAGTTAGTTAATAGTAAGGATTGATTCCCAAACTAAAGAGTGACCGTATTTTCTTGTAAATGTACTCCAATAATCTTTTAGTTACAACCTAGAAAAACACAGCAAAACAACTGTGATGTAACTGAATTTATATTTAAGAAACACGTTGGTCTGTTCCTCAGACAAAGCTGCATGACTTCAGAAGATTTGCAAACTATCAGACTCTCATTCAATTCCAAATGATTTGTAAAGCACTTTAAAAACTATATAGGCCTACACCAAAGTTCTGTATAATTCAAATAGATGAAGAAAATAAAAAGGGAAACATTTACAGAAAAAAAAAATCTTGATATGATACCATTTGGTCAATTGTGCAGCTTGACGGCATCTGCACACCATTTACTGCCATTGTATGAAAAACAGCAGCGTGAACAACCTGGCAAACATCACTGATGGGGAAAAAAGGAGCAACATGAGAATGAGTAAATGATCAGAGAATATTCAAAATAACACATATCATCTGTGGATTAGAGCTGATCTCACAGGGATTCACTCAAATTATACTGAGACTGTAAACACAATTTACTATGTGCATGACGGAGGGATTACTGCTTTTGTTTGTGAAGAGCAGACATGAGACAAGATGCTCTGGAGAGCGAGGGAGAATATGTGTGTGTGTGTCTGTGTGTGTGTGGGTGAATGACCCTTTAAAGGAGGGTCAGACCCCTGCAGGTCCTGCAGCTTCAGGGTGTTTGCTGGATTGAGGGTCTTGTGTTCAGTGCAACAGTCCAGATGAATATGCAGCCCACAGAAACCACAGGTGTCTCTCGCTCTCTGAGATTTAACAAGAACCATCAATCCTTATTCTCTGAGTTCTTCCTGTTTCTCTCAGCGTCATTATGATCTGCCTGATGCCCCGGGAACAACGTGAAAGACAATCAGGCCAGAGCTGCGTCGGTTTTTCGAAAGTCTTGCCAATTTAAACATTCAAGCAATTTTAATCTGTTCGTGCCAGTGCGGGAATAGCGGATTGAGTTTTGTTTTGCTTGAATGGACAAAAAAAAATTGTCAAAATGCCCATCTTGGCAAGAATCCTTGTAAACACAGATGTTACGTCTTAAATGAACTTAAACAGTTGAAAAAGAAATCTGATGTGTATCATTATATTGGTTTCGTGCATTAGGTCTTAAAGTGACAGCAGCCTAATATACCTCCGCTGTCTGTCATTAAATGTTAATCAAACAACAAAAGACAAACAGAAAATCACTCACTGCTCTTAAATAAGTCACTTTTTTTTCATTTTAATGATGTTTAATCTGCATTTAGTTCACACAGTTAAGACTATGCAGTGATTTGATTATTCAGTTTTTGCACCCGACCTACCGAGTTTTAAGCATTAAAATTATAAATACTATTTTATATAAACAAATAAATAATATAATATATAATTTATATATATATATAACAAAATCTAATAAAAATTACAAAAGCACATCACAAATTGAACATATAAAAATATAAAACTGAACATATAAAAATAAAAGCTACTTCAAAACATTAATGCATAATATAATAGTATATAAATAATACTAAAATAACACTGGTTTCACTTAGACATTCATATTACTGAAGTAAAAAAAGAAAAAGAAAAATTACATCACAAAATTACTAAAAGTTAAATTAAGTTACAAACTATGAAAACCTATATTCAAAATATAAATAATCAATATAATAGTATATAAATAATACTAAAATAACACTTTTTTTACTGAAGTACAATTACTGGAATTGAAAGAAAGAAAGAAAGAAAGAAAGTCATAGAGACAAATAAACCCACTTCTAAACAGCACATAAAAACAAACTGTGGTTGGTCACTGTACATGTCAATCAGACGCTCTCTTACTGTCTAAGTGGGCGGGTCTTGGCCAGAATAAGCTGCAAAGTCGACCAAACTTTCATGCCGATGGTTAAAAGTCTAGCTTCGTCAGACTGTGTGTGTGTGTGTGTGTGTGTGTGTGTGTGTGTAAGTAATGGACATTCCTTCTAAGAAACCATCAGTGTTTTTCAGCCGTCAGTCTCCTCCTGAGAGTATCTGTGAATAATATGCAGGTGTTTGTGTAACTACACATTCCAAGAGCCTCTCGCTCTCTCTGAAGTGTTTAAACAAGAAGAAACTGAACTGTACAAAGGAAATGAAAGAATTTAGGGAGGCTTTAGTGGTCTCTTTGTTTGACCGAGTGTGTGTGTGAAGGGAGGTCCTGATTTGCCACTGAGAAAAGTATGAATAGCCTTCAGGGGGATTTCCTCCGAAAGAAAGACCTCCTCCTCCTCCTCCTCCTCCTCCTCCTCTTCTCCGACCCTTTACTTGCTCTCTCTCTCTCTCTCAAGCACTTT